ACGGGGGCTATCTCACACAATAGCAATAATAGGCATCGATGGACAATTATATAGGACATACAAAATTCTCATGGTACGTTGAGGTCTTTCAAAAATTCAGAAACATCTTGTGAACCGTGAACCGCCAGGCCGGCCTGGCGGTTCATCCGGATTAAAAAAAAAAATCAAAAAAATTCAAAAAAAAAAGCGAAATAAAAACGGCGAGCCGTTATTTGCTATTTTTTGAATCCCCCCCCCCCCCCTTTCCGGTTCCGGTTCCGGTAAAAGTGAACCGTGAACCGGTATGAACCGACCTGTGGCCGTGTCTATACTGTGATATTTCTTACCTGGATATCAATTGCATGCTTCATAAAAAACTTTGTTTGCTAACCATATCTTATCATTTTTTCAGGTTTTGAAAGTCATCATGCGGCAAAAATGCCTGCAAATTTTGAGGGTTATTGGTTGAGGTCGTCAAATGTCGAACGTCAGATATAAAACCAGTACGGAATTGGTACTAAATAGCAACACTTAACTTCTCTAATATATATACATGTTGGAATTTAATCACTCAAAACTTTGTAAAACAACATCCTGTGTTCCGACCGCTATTGCTTTCATACTAAGTTATGTCGTAAAGTTCAACAACCCAGAGCTTCAATATTTCGAAGCATCGGTTCAAGACTTCATCGATAACTTCCACATACAATATCCGGAACATCCGCGATATTAAAAATTTAGTGCAGACAAGCACGTAAGGTGTGGAAAAGAAGACGAAGACATGGTTTATTATACCGTTCCAACTTGCGGTTTGGCTCACGTACGTAAGTTCATCGAGCTGAATGGGTTATATTTAGAACGACAATATGCATATGTTGCAAGAGTACAAAGAAATAAAAAAATGCTACTCGGTCCGAAAATAAAAATAAAAGAGACGAAGAATATAATAAACACATCACCGGCCGCAATTAAAGAAATTCTTCAAAGGGGACAACCCATTTTCGGTCTTGTACGTGCGAGTGAGAAATTCATGAAACACCGGTAAAAGGTTATTATTACTAAATAATGTTTTAAATAATAAAGTTCAATAAATTATTTATATATATATATATATATATATATATATATATATATATATATATATATATATATATAGGGGTTATATGAGATAAACCCCTCATACAATTTCATTAGAGGGATAAATCCATTTTTTTATTTACTATTAGGGATAACCCCTCACTTGGCATAATACCCCATTTACCCTTATTATATTTATAATAATATTAAAGATTAATTAATATGGGAAATTAATTAAAAAATACGTAAGTATGCAAATCCTCACATTCAGATTTTTATTTTCTTTCAAAAAATTGATTTTTTTTTACTTAAAAAATTATTTATTTATTTATTATTTTTAGTTTTTTCAATTTTTTTATTCGTTTATTATTTTTCATTTTTTTGTTTTTTTAAATATTTTTTTTCCAGCTTATTCTTTTAATTAATATTTTTTTATTGATTTTTTTTTTCGCTTTACCAAATTGAAATCCACTACACACTTATCGAATTTCACTATAAATATTTCGAAATTTATTGAAAATCATATTTTTTCCAACAGGTTTATCGAAAAATAAAATCCGATACACATCAAAATTTATGAACATTCACTATCTAAAAAGAAAAATCAACTTAAAATCCACTGAAAAATTATTGTAATCCACTATAAAATTAACATAAACCACTATTCACTGCCAGAATTTGAAAACCACTATCCACTACCAGAATTTGAAAACCATTATTCACTGTTTGAAATCCACTATTCAATGTACGCGTTGTCAACCCCCTTCCCTCTAACGTAATCCACTATTAATGTCGCGTGAGAGTTCGAAAACCACTATTTAGTGTAAGCTCATCGACAGCCCCTCCTCCTCGCGCCTGTATCAGGTATATTTTGTCTAAAATCCACTATAAGTTCATCAAAAACCACTACAAAAATATAGAAATCCACTACAAAAAATCACCTTTACAAAAGAGAAAATCCACTAAAAATTTGCCTAAATCCACTACAAAAATTCCCTTTAGTAAACAACGTCATCACAGACAATTGTAGAGGCACCCGAGCATCACCCAACCTCGTCCCACTTGCTGCCATCACTCCGCTTGTGGAATAACATGAAAAAAAAGAAAAAAAAAAGACAATGCGTAAATTTAATTCATAAAAAAAATTCGGTCTCCAAAACAAGAATTTGAAATCCACTACAATCTCATCAAAATCCACTACAAAAAATATCAAAACTCACTCAAATATTAATCTAATCCACTATAAAAATAATTTGCAAAAATAGCAAAACTTATCATGAAAATAGAAAAAAACAACTGCCAAAGGTAACAAAAACAACTATTTTGCACACCTTCACCGCTACACAAACACTCATTTTTTTTTCTACACAAGGACAATAACTTGAAATCCACTATAGTCTTATCAAAATCCGCTATTATAAAACACCGAAAGAATAACATATTAAATCAATTCATAAGAGTGATTATATGAGACGTGGTTGAATATGCTTCTTCAATTTCACGGAGATTCACTACAACAAAAATTTAAAAAAAAAATGACAAAACCTAAAGTTAATCCGAAGACAATTACCATTGCCCACCTAATTAATTCAACAGATTCAATATTTACGCCCATTTAATTTATAAATTACGGACATGGTTTTATTAGATTGGTATGTTGAAATAAATCCAACAAAAAATGCCAAAAATTGATAGAGGAAAAAAAAGAAACGAGAAACTTAAAAAATTAGTAAAACCCAAAAATCCAATTTGGCGACTGAATGATCAATTACAAACTGCAAAAAATCTGTCGAATCTTCAATTTAAATTACCAATAAATTCAGAAATTTCAATAGGCGACGAAGCATTCACCGGCAAACCATCGACGGCCGAGAAGGGGTAAGCCAGATGGCATAGATCAGATGTGTGAGGTGTGGCTGCCGCCTTTGGTGTGGTGGGCATATCGACTCCGACTAACTGTTGGCTGGCGAAGAGGAGGAAGAGCCCAAACGTCTTGCCCCGTTTTGGGGGCTGGTAAGGGAGGCGAGGGGGTGAGCGTGAGTTGTGGAGAAAAGGGAGAGAAGAGAACGAGAGAGACGGCTAGAGGAGAGACGTGAGTAGGTTAAAAGAAATTGAAAAATGGTAAAATAGGTTATTAATAATATAATTTGCTGAATAAAATATAATTGGATTTATCTCAAAAGTGAGAAAAAAAAATGGATCTAGTCTAATGATACAATGCATATGAGGGGGTTTTCTCAAATAATCCCATATATATATGATCCTGACTTCATTATCATCCTGATAAAGACGGTATGATGCACGCGATAGCAATAATAGGGATCGAGGACAATTATATGGACATACAAAATTCTCATGGTACGTTGAGGTCGTTCAAAAATTCAGAAACATCTTGTGAACCGTGAACCGCCGGGCCGGCCCGGCTGTTCATCCGGATTAAAAAACAAATCAAAAAAAAAACAAAAAAAAAAAACGGCCGGTAAACCAGCCGTTATTTGCTATTTTTTGAATTTCCCCCCGGTTCCGGTTTCGGATCCGGAAAAAGTGAACCGTGAACCGGTATGATCCGGCCCGTGGCCGTGTATATACTGTGATATTTCTTACCTGGGTATCAATTGCATGCTTCATAAAAAACTTTGTTTGCTAACCATATCTTATCATTTTTTCAGGTTTTGAAAGTCATCATGGTGGCAAAAATGCCTGCAAATTTTGAGGGTTATTGGTTGAGGTCGTCAAATGTCGAACGTCACATACAAAACCAGTACGAAATTGGTACTAAATAGCAACACTTAACTTCTCTAATATATATACATGTTGGAATTTAATCACTCAAAACTTTGTAAAACAACATCATGTGTTCCGACCGCTATTGCTTTCATGCTAAGTTATGTCGTAAAGTTCAACAACCCAGAGCTTCAATATTTCGAAGCATCGGTTCAAGACTTCATGGATAACATCCACATACAATATCCGGAACATCCGTGATATTAAAAATTTGGTGCAGATAAGCACGTAAGGTGTGGAAAAGAAGACGAAGACATGGTTTATTAT